GAGCATGCACAAGAATTAGGACGTGCGTGTGCAAAACACGCACACACGTGTGTGTGTGTGTGTGTGTGTGTGTGTGGGTGGGTGTGTGTGGGTGGGTGTGTGTGTGTTGGGCGGGCGTTGATGATGTGGACCACATGCTGACTTAAAGGCGCAGGTGCTAACTGGAAAAAAAACAGTGGTTCAGGTGGTCAAGCGCAGTTATTGCTAATGTAATGGAGTACAAAGAGAATAATGTCATGTTATGGAGTACGAATACAGTGGACCCCCGCATACTTGCGGTTCGGCACCTACAGGTCTCTCTCTCTCTCTCTCTCTCTCTCTCTCTCTCTCTCTCTCTCTCTCTCTCTCTCTCTCTCTCTCTCTTTTATTTGTTTTAGATTTTTTTTGTTTTTGTTTTAATTTGTTGTTCTTTCTCAGTTCATTTGAAAAGGCGTCATTTCTTCTCAAATCGTTGCTCTTCACGGGCCAGCCCGCCTGGTTACTTTCCTCCTCGGTCGGAATCGCACCACTGTACCTCATGACAGTGCTTCGGTCAAATTTTCACACACAGTGCTACCTTGAGATAGCAGTGACGCAATGTAAGAGCTTTTCGAGATACAAGCCTTGTTTGGCTATTTTATTGATATATTTATTTATTTCGCTGGCAAAAACTTGAGATAGAAGCGCTCTGAACACAATTCAAGCCTACAACAAGCAGCAGTTTAGCAGCCGGTGAACGATTTTTCTTTGTTGTGGAGTACTGTACCTTATTTCCGACGACTTGACCGCAGCCCGATGGCGGCCTCAGCCTCAACCAGACTCATCCTTGCTCGACATTCCTATCAAAACCTATGAGGGAGGGTGCCCGCGATCTAGTTCCCTCTGCTGGTCACATAGCGCAAAAGCATCTGTCCAATGCAATTCAATGTCGGAGCACCTTTTGCTACCAAGCTCCGCAACCGGTTTTAAAACACTGTTTTGAAATGCAGACACTACTTTGAAACCCTAACCCTAATTTGAAATGCTTATTTGAAACCCTCGCCCTACTATGAAACCCTAATACTCATTTAAAACCCTACTTTGAAGTCAAAACACTAATATGAAACCCAAACCCTAATTAAAAATCCCTCTTTGAAACCCCAAACTTACTTTAAAACTTTAACTGTAATCTGAAATAGTAAACACTATTTTGAAAACCGAACCCAAAAGTCTGAAACAGCATTTTTGAAATGCTATTTTGAAACTCTTCATTGAAATCCCAAAACACTTCTTGGAGATTTTGGACCTTGGCCTGATCCTCCTCAGGGTCTTTTTAAAAAATAAAATAAAATAGAAAAAGACTAATGATTGTGTATAGGTCGGCAAACATTTGGACTCACGCCTGGCACTAGCTGTTAACACAAAATAGTTTGCGGATGCAGTTTAGTACAAAGAAGTAGATGGAATAATTTGACTTGTAACTTGCGCCAATGCAACAGATAATGCTTTATTGCCCGAACCTCACCTTTTTTTTCTCCATTGTAAATGCGTTGTTGTCAAGCAAAAATAACAACACAAAAGTGATGGTTTTGAGGATTTATTAGCAAACTGATAAAATAAATAAATAGAAATTGATCAAATGCTCCTAGTGGTGGCTTGGTGCCATCCTGTAACCTAGCAACAGTATTTAGTGAAACACTGCATCATCATCATCATCACAAGAAGAGGAGGCTCAATACAGAGGTAAGAATCCCACCAACATGGCCAACAGAAGACACGTGTGGAACACAAGTCCAAAAAAATAAACACATTCCTTTCCAAAATTATGAAAAAATACAAACAATTATACAAAGATTCCCGATGTACACTTGTTCTTTATTTGGAGCGCTACAATGCGTCTGAGCACATGGATTAAAAAAAAAAAAAATTGTCAGGTGTGGGGATCACAGGGTCACGTGAGGACAACACTCGAAGGCCACAGTCATGACTAGACGCTGGCAAACGGACACTTTTGACTCTCAGCAATGCCGCATTTCCCTCCCGTGAGCAGGTGTCATCTGTGTTCTTTGGATGAATGGGCCCTTTTTTGCTCCGCCCACTCAGACGACAGCTCCTACTGGCTCCGCCCATTCCAAACCAACCCAAAAATCCAAAAGCAAAATGAATGAAACAATAAACAGGAATGCATCATTAACTTGTGTATAAAATTTGCATAAGAAGGCATGCATTGATGGGGTGGTGGGGGGGGGGGGTCGGGTCACATTTTTTTTGTTATAATACTGCTCAAGTGAAAAAGTGCATCACCGCCTGGGCTTTGTCATCAGGACAACCCGGCAGACTTGGCAACCTTTGACCCCTCAATGAGCGAGTTGATCAGGTAAAAAAACAAAAAAAAAACATTTAAGGCAGTAAAACACTGAGCGGCCAATGAGGTGAATGGGCGGGTCCACGCGTCACAGTGCAAGTCAAGACAAATCGAAGAAGGCACTCGAGGTACCTACTGGGGAGTGGGGGGGGTGGTGACTATGAGATATGCTAATTGGCTGACACGAGTCATGAGACCTCAAAAGTGGACAAAAAGAAAAAAACGCAAACAAAAGAGGCACCATGAATGATGAAGCGGGAAGTGAACGGCGCCCCCTGCAGGCTCTTCTTGTGCTTCCTCTAAAGTGGGAGGAGTCAGGTGGCATCACAGAACCAGAAGAAGAAACCAACTTGTGCTTTTTTTTTTTTTTTTGTCGCCGTTAAGCGGAAGCTTTAGCTCCGCCCCCGGCGCATTTGATGCGTTTGGCAGTTGAAGATGGTGGTGGGGCGGAGCAAAACACAAAGCACTTAATTCCCAACACCAGGAAGACGTGAACACGTTGTCCTAGAAAAACAAAAGCACATCACATGGACACACCAATGACGACTCACAACAACAACACCGCTCTGGCTCCGCCTCCTCCGCGCCCACCTTCGTGGGAGGGCGGGGCTACAGTCTCTAGAACAGGTGGGGGAAGGCCTGGAGTCTTCAAACAAAGAAGTGACTGACGGCATCAGAGAGTTAAGTGGGCGGCGCTCTTGGGGTGAAGCTCCGGGACAACCATGTTGGATCACGACCACGATGAAGACGGTGATGATGATGTCGTGCTCCTTGTCCGCTTGAAGCACTTCTTTGTTTGAAGGACGCTGCCCTTAAGCAGGATCGGACGGGGGACCCCCACCGACCGCTCATGGACTGCTCTCCGAGGGGGACGGGCGGGCGGCGTGGCCCCCGTCCGCCACTCCGCGACCGCGCGCACTCCCACCCAAGACCGTCGGGACAGGCACACTCTGGTGTGATGGATTCAGTCTCCTTTCGAGCGTTCCCATGACAACGTCTATGGCTAAGTGGCCGCGAGCGCGCGACCAGGCCGCTATCTACCATCGACACAGGCTGACGATACGACGCAAACAAACGACATTTACACACATTGGCAACTTTTTTTTTTTCCCCCCCCTGGTATCGCATTCCACGTGAAAGCGACGCTCACTCTGCTGGCACACAATGCTGGGAGGGTTCTGAGGTTTTGCTGTTGCTGTCGTTGATGTCCCGTTTGTCCCGCGTCGCCGTCTCCGAAGGGCCGGTGATGGACATTTTGTTCTCAGAGTCGGCGGCGGGGACGTCCGCGGCGGAGGGGGGGCGCGGCGGCGGCAGCTCACCCGTACCGTTGGCGGTGGCCGGCGTCGGCGCCTCCGAGGAAGTCGCCGCGTCCACCTGCGGAGACGCGACAGTCTCGCCCTCCGCCGCACCCTCCGCCCATACGGCAGGTTCTGTCTGAGCTCCTCCTCTATCATCCGGTCCACGCGTGACGCCGTCGTGACAGTCGGCGTCCCCAGAGGTGGTCTCGCTCCTCTCTGGCGCCCGCTCCCCAGCTTTGTCGCTCTCAGCCGCATCGCTGGCTTCCACCTCTGGCGGTGTCGGCTCAACATGAGGCGAGGCCGGCTCGGCTTCGGGCGGCACCGTGGCATCTTGGACTCGTACGTCCCTGCCATTGGGGTCGGAAGCCGCCGGGTTGAAGTTGAAGGCCTGGATGAGGCGAACCAGATGTTTGACTTTGTCCAGGGACAGCTGCATCTCCTTCTGGCGAGCCAGGATGCCGTTCTTGGTCTCCATGCACTTCTGACGGCGAAAAGACATGAGCGGAGAAGTCAAGAAAAAAAGCAAATGAATCAAGTTCACTTGACAGGTCGAAAATGACTCATGTGTCTTGTGTCTGATGGTGAACACTGGCAGGCAAAACAATGACACGCTGTGCCACTAGATGGCAGAAGGTCCGCAAGCAAGCGTCAATCCAAGTTGCCTCTCATACAACAAAGTGTTGCATGAATAATCAGGCCCATGTTTCATACAGACTCAGGACAGTTGGATTAAACTGATCACAATCGTTTTTGCAGTATGAAGCGGCTACGTTGACAAAGAAACATCACATGTTCTTCGACCACTCGTAACTCCGATCAGTTGTCCTCCATTGAAATGAGTTGAGCACCTCAAAAACACACTTTTTTGGGTTCAGCAAGAAAAATATTACGATTCCACAAAAACAGGTATGGAATGAAATCAATGACTTACATAAAGCATAGGTAATGTATGTGGGGACAAGCAAAAAGTAACAACAACTGTAGAGTTGTATGAGTTCATAAAAGTCTGAGTGAACAAAGATCACAATCGGGGTTCCACAGGGGTCCATCCTTGGACCACTTCTATTGAAGGTCTACACGCTGCCCTTTGATCGGCACTTATCTGCGCCACCTGCCGCGAGTTATGATGACTTCTGTTACACAAGCGTATTTGCTACGTTTTTATATTTTTCCCCACTTGATGAGCAGGAGCGTCTCTGGAGCTTGCTCCCAACTTTAATTTTGGCTCGCATGACAAATGAACGACCGAATAAATCAATAAATGTTTACCGTGATGGAGTTGCTGAGCTGCTTGACTCGTTGTTCCAGCTGCTCACGCTCCAGCCGCAGTTCTGCACTCCACTTGATGAGCTTCTGCTTCTCTTCTTCTTTCGCTGCACAAACACGAGGGAATACTCGTGAGCTCACCGTAGCCGCTGGCGCTCGCCGGGGCCGCAGTGGCTCACCTTCTTTATAGGCGATGTAGGAGTGGACGATGGCCAGCGTTCCGGGCCACGGAATGGCTTCTTCTTTCTTGAGGATCTGCGGAGAGAAACTGGCGCTCGTCAGACACGGAAAAGACGCGACGGGATCGGGGGAGGGAAGGGGGCGGGGTCAGGGGGGATGCGAGCGGCGGCGACGGCCGTCGCCTAGCGGCGAGGCCAAGGCCACAAACGGGCACAATGGAGCGGGCGGATGCGTGACACAACGGACGGGACAAGTGTGCGGCGTGGATGCTTACAAAGGGTTGAACAGTCCTAAAGCGGGCCGTTACCTGATCTTGGCATTTGGGACAGATCCACATGCCTTTAGGAATGCTTTTCAGGGGCGGTTCCAGGCAGTCCAGGTGATAGACACGAGAACACGTGTCGCACATGAGCAACTGGCCACTGCGTCTGCACACAGTGCAGAAGTCCTCATGGATGTCTCCCTGCGAGCAAGAATTGGACCAATCAGTCGCCCCGCTCGCCCGCCCGCCCGCCCGCCCGCCAGGCAGAGGAGCGGCCGGCTTTAGTCGGGGGCCGGTGGTCATGTGTGTTAATTTGGCCGAGAGGCTGTTCACTTTGTAAGACTGATGACATGTGGGTGGATGATTGACAGACTACTGAGCCGACGGTGGGCGGGGCTGGAGGGGGAGGTCGGGGTGAGGCAGCCCAGCTCCGGGACGCCGCCGTATTTGGGTGGGCGACCTGGGTGGAATGAGACAGACGACAAAGACGGAAAAAAAGAAAAAAAAAAAGGAAAAGAAAAAAAAAAGATGGAGAGGGGGGAAGAACAACAACAGTCTGCGTGACATACCTTGGAAAGG